CTCTGCCTCCCGAGTGCTGGGATTAAAGGCGTGCGCCACCACCGCCCGGCGAGATGTGTAGTATTCTAAAACTATGTAATGGCACTGATTTGCCAAGCTGCTAAAAGAATGCTACATTTTCTACCAACAGGTACCAATCTAAAGTCACATCCTCAATGCACTTGAATTTCAATAAAGAGCTCAGAGGACTGTGATGTTATATCAGGAGATTCTTATAGAATGCAGGAATTACAAACAGGTAAGAAATGGGAAAAGATCATCAAATCAAAAACATTCCAGATGCTGATGCCTAACATATCCCATGATTATTGCTTATCATGCCTTTCAATAACTGTAAAGGTGCCTCATACGTGCACTACGTGCACACAGATTAAGTACAGAAAAGCTGGGGTTAGCTAGACCATGTTGTCTGATGGAGATGCACCAGCAGCATGTTTACTTCATACACCTGAACTGAGGAGGCAGATTTATTCTGCACAGATGAATGAGAATTTGTGGTTATTATATACAGCTGAAAAAAAAAGCAATCTAATCAAACTCTATGTGTATGCTGTTTCTCTGTAGGGTATCCCCTTCAGAATATAAATTCCATGGAGGAGTAAACTGTGGTTGGCATTTTCTGTATCTATTGTTAACATATTTACACAGACCACCAAAGGACTTTGTCATTTTCCTGAGTCTGAACTGAGAATGTCTTTGCCATTCACATGGATCTGAAGTACTGAGGTTCTTGTTTATTACTGTGCTCATGTCAACAACACACATTCACTCAGGACTTGATACTACTTAAATCTTCTCTCAGAGCTTCCTCTGGTCCTCACGTAGAGTACTGTGTTTATGTTAATATTACAGGCAAGAAAGCTGATGTTCATGAAGATCACTAATGTTTATGGGTTATTTCAGGACAGGTTGAGAGAATTAAAGAAAACTGATGACAGCCAATTCCTACACTGTATTTTTAGTGTTCAATTTTTCTAATTAAATTTTTATTTTATCGCTTGATACTTATAGTAAGTTATATACTTTGAATATTCATTGTATACACTTTTTCTCCACTTTACTATATTATAATTATTTTATCATGCATCACATATCTCAGCTTACCATTTCCTGCAAGGAGGAAAAACTTAGCCTAGAGGTAGATGAACAGATAAGTTTATGGCCAAAATCATGTGACTTGAAAGCATTTGCCTGAATTAGCCCTGTGTTTGAACTCTAAACAACAATATTTTTTTCTTGTTTACATTTCATAAATATAGTTTTATTATTCTTCAGTTGTCTCCAGCCATCAAAACAGTAGAAGGTTGTCTGTTAGAATAAGTGCATTGCTTACAGTTTCAATGAATATGAGACCATGGTGAGCCACTGGGTCAGTCAAGAGACAGAAGAGGTGTGAGAAGACTGTGGTAAAAGGTTCTGAATGGATTTTGTGAGAAGACAAAGCAGGCTTAGAACTGATCGCTGTAAAAACTTGAGACAGATTATGTCACAGCTCTTGACTCGTTGTCTGTCATCTGGACACAGGGTGATTATTTAGTAAGACAGTGACTCTGTGTGTGTTTGTCTTTAGTGTTCTGTTATAATGGTTTTTGGGAATTGGCTATACATTGTCTAGCTCATATGCATGGGCAGAAGCAATTAATTTCACTAGGAATAATCCCTATGTGGGGCAGTCTACCAAGGATCGGTAAGAATCCAGACAAGCAACAAGAGAACAAAGTTAATGCTTACTCTATTATGTCAAAACATATGAATCAGTACTTAGCATAAGTACTGCACTACGAAACATATTCATATACCCAAGGATATGCAGAAGTCTTAGGCTAATATTCTCATTTACTGTATTTCGACACTTCAAATGTAGGTGCCTACTACTATTATTGTTCTAAGACTTAGAATTCAAATGAGCATAATAAAAAATGACTGCAGATTATCTAATGCTACATCCATAAATCAGTGCATTGTTCAAGTCTAATCATTAAGTTTCTGCAGTAGATGGTAATTTACACAGATTCCCATAACTGGATAATGTTCACACAGTGAGAAAACTCAGACCACTCAACTCTAAATGGGATGGCTTTATCATAGTACTCCAGTTAAGACTCAAGGATCTGTCTATGTGGAACAGGAGTTGGAGAGATTTTAAGAGCCAACATACAGCAGGGCTGAAGCACCTATGAACTCACAGAGAATCTGACAGCATGAATAAGACTGTACTCTTTAAAGCCAGATGAAATCCTAGACTGTAAGAAAGGAAGGGAGCACAAAGACCCATCCCAATACAGAGCCTTTTGTAATTCATAGATGTTATGAGAGGGAAAATCAACTGAATTTAATGAAGTGACACTGGGTATATCAAACACAATCCACGGCAAGCCTCCTGCACAGGAGTAGTTGGGCAATGCAAATTGGATTCAGTGTTTTTCTGTGTGCTATTTTAATATTTATTTATTCACTTATTTACTTATTTTAAGAGTGAAAAAGGACATAAAGTTTTGTTGGGAAGAAGGATGGAGGATTTGTGAAGAGTTGGATGAGAGGAAAAAATAAATCAAAATCTATTGTATGAACACAAAAATACATTTAAGAAAGAAAAATATGTAGGTAATCCTATGGAAAGCAATTTGTTTCATTTTTTTAATATGATTTCATAATATATAATAAACACCCCAATGCCATGTTACCTCAACCTCGTATTTTGGAGGAGCAAAGAGTCTTGTCAGCAAGAAAACATGTATGCACATCTCACAATCCATGGTATGGACAGACCTCTTGAAAGATTTAAACAAGGCTTTTTGCTTCACCAGGAAAGAGAACATCGATTAATTTAGGTGAATTGTATGCATTTGTGCATGTGAATGCATGAGTAAGTGTGCCTCCACTGATGGATGAGGCAATCAGAAAATTGCCCTATTTGGATTTTTTTTTTCATTGTTGCTAGACATCAGAGGGAAATGTGCTAAGTTATGTTGTTTGACCATTTTTGATATGTTGAAAAAAATGCACTCCAGGTAGGAACTTGCAGAGTCGAGGTTTAGGCTGACACAGTTGGAAATGTTTAAACACTCAGCACAATGTAGCCTACAATGGAAAAATCTGACAACCCTTTTATGCTAGTGGCAACGTGAGGCACTGCTGAAATTAGCAGACAGGCCGCACGTGCCACAATAAAAGCACAGTTTCTGGAAACTGCGGAAAGAAAGCCAGTAGCTACTCATGAAGAATTATTTTTGTAATTGTGTATTCCTAACTCAAGGGAGAACCTGATGGAAACAGTTTGTTCTTTATTGTAGTCCACCCATTTAGTTTTCAAATAGCCATCCTAGGTGAGCGTTATATTTAAGGCTTGAAGTGGGAGAGATTGTGCTGTTAAAAAAACAAAACAAAACAAAACAAAACAAAACAAAACAAAAAACAGAGAAAATGTAACATAAAAGCCCCTTTCAGTAATTTAGGTTCTCTGTTTCTGAGTTAGATGGCCGATGATGAATGTTTGATTTGTTTTCATAGACAGTGGCCTAAAAAGAAAATCAAAGAATAGCTTCCTAGGATGGAAAAAAAGAGGGAAAGAAAACAATGAGCCTTTTTGATATTTTTGCTACACATTAGCAAGGATGTTTCCAAAAGGTAAGGAAATAACAAAAATGCCATCCTAAGCATGGTAGACATCTTACCTTGAAAGTAAAAGAGGGCATAGCCAGAAAAACTTCCTTGAAAGATATTACCATTCTACAAAATCCAGACATATCTACTCAGGATCTAATGGAACTTACAGATATCTACTCATTCAATACACAATAAATACCAATGAAAGATCACCAGGTACCATGTCCTCCTTTGAAGTATGTGTTAATGAGTAAATATAGAACACATGATCCATGTTAAAAGTATTTCTCTATATCCTTTAAGACTAACTTAATAATCAGCTTCAAAATGGAGCCACTTCATTACATTAAAAACAAAAAAAGACAGCATGAGTGAACGCATTAGTAGAGGGATGTAGGTGTTTTCATTTGGTAGAAGATGCATTTGCATCTAACTAGAGCATAAAGGTTTCCTATACCTATACGATGGAGGGTGAAGAAGCAGGATTACTATAACTTGGAGTATAGCTCAGAATACATAGTAAAGTCAAATGAAGCCCAGGCTCAGAATGAGACATGACTCTACTTCAGGAAAAATGTTGTCTTATTAAGACTTGACATAGATTAAATAATGAAATAATATCTAGTTTATTATAAATGAATTATATTTTTTCCTCATCAGATCTGACATTCTCTACTCTATATTGCCATGAGTCTGTGTCTTCTACCTTGAAGCAATTCTAAAACGTGACTTCCCTTTTTAGCATAACTTTGGATTTTAGCTTTTATTCGTTATTGGGCTCAAATCACGTGGTCACGGTGCATTGTAGCATAAAGAATTATGAAAGCTTAAGTAAATATCATGTTTAGTCAAGGATGGAAAATGCTTCTTTGAAACAATAGTTTTCAATGGATGGTCCATGTAACCTGAACGTCACTGAGGAACTCATCACAAATGCAGATTACAAGTCCTTGTCACACAACTAAAAGTTAAGAAATCCTGGAGATAAGGCATGTGCTCTGTGCTGTATCAAACACATTATTTGACCTTTGAAGATATAATTATTTGGAAATCACTATGAGGAGTTGGAAATTTTTTTTCCAAGTGATATTAGCCACAGGGGTCCCTTTGAGGATACCACTCTCAACAAAGTTCCCATACCATGCCTTCTTAATGCATGTGCTCACCAATGATGGGATTGATTATTCAGAAAAACACGCAATAAAGGCCAAGTTTAGAAAATACAAACAACTAACATTTTATCTTTCTGGTTTAATCATTTTTTAGATTCATGGGTGGGACCCGATTTGGGATAGAAATCAACTTTCCAGTTTTGAGTTGGAATTTGAAGTGATTTAACTTCTATTCCTTTAGGGGAAAAAATAAGCATCCAAGTGTTGGGACAGCAGAAAATGCACCTGCCTCGAAGCCAGCTTTTATGTTTGGCTTCAGGGGAGCTTTCAGTGTTTGCCAGATATGCTGACCACCTGTGAAATATTTGATCAATCTGCTGATCCAGCTGTAATCTCTTGGTGTTGCGAATTCCAGATCTCCTGTGGGGTAACAGAGGGTGCTTGGATGCGTGTCAGGCTGAGGTGAGCCAAGTCACAAAAGAAGTTGACTCAGGTTTGGTCCACACCAATAACTTGTTTGTCCCCAATGTCTCTTTAAAGTTCAGGTTTCAGTCCTATCTAATACCAACAGTGGGATAATGCTTTGTTCATGTAATACCAGGTCAAATTACTGAGATTAAATGACTATTTTCCATTACCCTTTCTTATTTCTGCCTACTCTTGGTGTACACATATGCAAAATTAGATCAGAATAGGTCATACAACTTCTCATTTGTCTATGGATTATGAGATTATATGTAGAGTGAGGGTAAATTCGCAGAAATGACCAGCTAGCAATTATATTTGATGACTTGTTTAAAATGTTCCTGTTTGTTTTTTAGAGTAGACACAGATTTGGGAAAGGAGTGGAGGATCTTGGAGGACTTGGTGATCAAAGTAAGTTATACAAAATTCTCTAAGGAATGAGAAAAAATAAAAAATAGTCATTTAATATTAACATGGTTTAGTAAGTCAAAGTTATATATTTTGTTTGCATTTAAAATTTTCTGTTTTGAGTTTACCTCTATATCATTTTTTAACATTTTTTCTTTTATTTTTTGAGATTACAAAATAATTATACTATTTCTTCCTTCCTTCCTCTCCCTCTAAATTGTTCCACATACCCTTCCCAGCCAGTTTTCAAATTTATGGTCACTTTTATTTCTCATTAGATGTCTTTAAATGTATATATGAATATGCGAATATATTTCTAAATAATACCTCCAGCTGTATAATGCTACCTGTACATGCTACAGTATATGTACATGTGCAAGTAAAACATGCTGCTTGTATATGCATGTTTTCAGTGCTGACCACTTGGTTTTGGATAATCAGTGTTGTGCTCACTCTTCCCTGAGTGTGAGAACCCGTTTTCAGGTTCCTCATGGCTTTACCCAGCCATGGGGTCCAAATAGAAAGGATGTTTAGACCCCGGGCCTGAGTGCAGGTGTCTGAGATGATCTGCACTTAGCTGTGCTTGGGGGAGGTCTTTTGCTCAATCCCTTGGCATTTCTATAAATACCCTAGGGCAGAGACAGTCAGGGCTCATTGGAATAGGTTCCAGGCCCTCTCGAGGCTATCCTGTGTTTTCTATCTGTTTGTCTCCACACTCTAAATCCTTCTAGCTAACATTTCCTGCTGCTCTCACTTAAGAAAACTCTGGGGAACTGTGGGGTTGGCGGGTAAACGCCCCACACCTGAGGAAGACTAAGTCTCTCACTCTCAGCATTCCTCATTTACCCAGAGTTCTTAGCTTCTGGTTGAGGTCCTGTACACTTTGCATACTACTGTTGTAAGAAAAAACTGAAATAAAGATGATTAAAGTATCTTGCAAAGAAAACTCCTCTAAGATGTAAAAAAAAAATCATCAGTATTAAATTGTCTTTACTAAACTAAAAAATAAATTTCTCATTATTTATTAAGAATACTAAGAAATGCTAGGATTCTTTTAATTAAGGACATGCACAAAGCAAATGTAAAATAAAATAAAGTTGGGTAACAAGCAATCTAATAAGAAGTGGTCATTAACTATTATGTAATTATATATGAATTAAATATATACATATATTGTGCTTCTATTTTATACCAGGTATGCTAATCAGTTTTGACATTTGTAGTCTATTACTAAAGGAACAATGAAAAGCTGGAAGTAAAAATGTATGGATATTTTAAGCTTTTAGAAGAAGATATTTCTAGTTGCTTAGAATGGCAGATGAGAAATTTACAACTTGGGCACATGTCCTAGATCACAGAAAAGAGCCATGTTCAAGTTTACTGTTTTGTTATTTCTATTTGGAAGTCATCCCTTCAAGGTTTGCATAAAATCATAAAGTATGGAAGAAAATGCTTCTTTATTTATAAGAAGATGTGAACTCAGTTTTATGTTCTAGAAAAGAAATGCTATCTTGTCCAGGTTTGACCCCTCATAGACTATGATATCACTATTAGTAATTCTAATGTTGTTTGATATTATTTGCTCATATTCCTTTTAAACCATAAACTCAAAGGCAGGATTCTCATGTAATCAGTCTCTTCACTAAATTTCCTGTTATCCTGAATGTACACCTGAGAACACAAGGGCAAGGAAATTAAGCCTCAGCAAGGACATGGACTTCACTTAAACCCAAAATACCATTTTGTAACTAATATTATAGATTTTGCAATAGTGATCCAGGGGTCCAAGGGTTGAGGCCAGGAGAATAACAGATGTGTAGTGATAAACGGACTGTTCCTAGATAACCTAAGAAGCAAAGTACAATCCAAGTGAAATAATGATTTTGAGGTCATCATGATAAGCTCTTTGGGCAAGAATATGTTAAAGAATATGAGAATTGCAAGAGGTATTGCTGCTCTCCAGGTGTGTTTATGCCCATTAATACTATTGCACTGACAGTCCCCGAGAGAGATAGCTGAACCAGGGGCAACTTCCAAACCTGGTGTTAGCAATACCTTAGAGAAAACGGTGGGCACTGATCCTGGAAAACGCTAGACGTCAAATGCTAGTAGATCCTTCAATATGACTGATTCAGAACAATGGAGAGTTTGTTGGGAACCAGCATCCCTGGAGGCTGTTCTTCCACCGGAGGGTTTGTTTAGACAGAAGTGCTTGAGTTCCTGAGATACTTGTGGGTTTTTCCTGGCATAACTATTTTGCTAGCTACCAAGCTTGAAAACAAATTCTCTTCTGGAACCCTACAGTAAATTTTCCCACTTGGAATGCTGATTTCATTGTAATCTTGTAATGAAATTCATCCATAGCCTTTTCCTTAATGACTACCTACTGAAGCCCAAGTTTCTTATTCCTAGACATAAAGGAAATCATAGCATTGTGAATTTATGCCATTTAATTTTTAAACAAACATTTATTGAGAATTAATTTTATCTTGCATTACAATTTTCTATCCTAATTGTGTGTCATTATACTAGGCACGGCTCACATTTTACTGAAATGTCTATGCAAGTGGGATAGATAGATGATACATAGGTAATTATTATATCAGAGAATATCTTGACGTGTGGCCTACTGTGTTACTTTTTGATAACATAGACAAGCAGAATAGCTGGAGGAAAAAAATGTGAAAAAGGACCTTGAACTTGAGACTCCAATCATGTGAGCTCTGAAAGAGGAAGAGACCTAGGAGAATGTGTGCTAAGTAGAGAGAATTTCAAGCATGCAGTTCCTGACTCTAGAACAAGTTCTGCCTGTTTTGAGGACATGAAAGTAACCACTGAAGATCCTAAAGTGAGCTACAGTTGAATAGACCACATAGTAGCTTTCTGGGTTACAAGTGACAATTGGAATTTATTCTTTGCCAGCTGGAGCTTATCAAGGCTTTCAGGAAAGTAATTGTATCAAATAGTATTTGCTAATGAATTTGACTACATTGAAAACCAAAAAAGAAAATGAAAAGTAAATGTCATTAAGAGGTAACAAAGAAGTTTTTCTGAGGAATGATTTTTGGATTACAAATCAAATTAAGTGTAAGGGACCAGCAGTTGAATTAAAAGGTGAAAGATGCTTTTGACTTTCAAGAAATGTGAAAGCAAAACCAGGAAACGTGGTTGCCAAGATGTCTGGTGTGAGTGGGAGGTACATCCCAGAAGTGCCTGAAAAAAACCTTGGGTTTAGGTAATAATAAAACTACTCAAAAATATTGAGTGCTTGTGATGTACCAAGCTCTGGGCTTGATCACTTACTTTGATTGATTACAAACCCACTGGTTTCCTGAGTACATTTGTTCTCTCATTCCCTTCATGTTTTATAACTTCTCGAGAGTACATCTCTAACACATCCTTCCCCTTCTCATAACTGCTTCTTATATTAGTGAGAAATGGAAGCTACCAGAAGTTGAATTCCAATTATTTCCACCACCAGCTCTGCTAGGTGCTAGGCTCCTCCAGTTATCCTCTTCACATTCTAACCCAATGTTAACTTTTCTACTTTGTGCTTTCTACTTTGCTTCAACTCAAAATCTGCTACTGTTTTCCTCTTCTATCGTTTCCTTCATTATAAAACCAAGGGAAAATGTCTACAAGTAAACAAAGAAGCAAACAGAACACAAAACTGTTGTGAGCACATATCTTCTTAGATAATATATGTACGTACTTTATCCCAAGAAAAATTAAGGAAAATTACTCTAATCTCCAGAATGTTATTTATTGTTCAAATTATACCCATGAACCTTTTCTCAGCACCTCTTGGAGATTACAGATAGCATTAATGTCCTTTTAGTGGTGTAATGAGTGATGAGTGTTTTATTCCCCTTTCTCTAACATTTAATAGCCAGTACCAATTTTTGCTTTGAAGTATTTTGTTCATTTACCTTACAAGACATCTCTCTACATGATTTCTCTTCAAGCATTATTAGTTTCTGCTCTCCACTTTTAAGTTGAAGTCTCATCATTTCTCCACATCTTAGCCTGCTCTAAGGCTTTGTCTCAGGATCCCTGTTTTCTCAATGTGTGTATATTCCCTATTAATTTTAATCTATAGTTCAAATGTGCATTTATTCTAATGCACCCTAAATGTGTGCATCAAGCCCCTATCATATATTAAAATCCATGTGCTGTCAAACATATCAGTGTCATGGTCATTCCTTTTTGTTATTATTATACAGGTGCCACAGAGGATTTCTACCTTTAAATTGACTTTAGATCTACCCCACCAAGATTACATGCATGAGACAATTTTTCTTACATGTGTTAATACTTCTTTCCTCATTTCTAACATATCATCTCCATCAACAGGGCTTTTGTTCTCACAATTTTGTGTAGCAAAACTTTCCAGAAGATTTGTGACAAACATAACCAGTGCTGTTTTATGGTTAATATAATTTGCTCTTGGATGCTGGTATTTTTTACATGTCTGACCTCAGAGGGAAGATAGAAAAGAGTTTAGCATTTTCTCAAAGGTTAGATCTAGAGTTGCCACAAGGCAAAAGCAAGTCTAGGTCCAGTTTATATTCATGAGAAATGAAAATGGAAATAAAGCAAAACTATGTACCCATGTTCACAGCCATGTTAACCCCTGCAGAGAAAAATAAGTGAAGTCACCCTCATGTCTACCAATTTATAGTTAAGAAAGTTGTATGTCCACACAATAGACTACTATTTATTCCACAATAAAAGAAATGCTGCCAGTGAGGCAATGAAGAACCTTGAAATCAATTACAAAAGGATAACATAAAACACCCTCAAAAACCATATATCATATTGCATGGATCAACATATACAAAGTATTTGGATACCGATAACATGCAAATCTGTGGAGAAAATGGTAGATTAGTGGTTTGGCTGTTGCTGGATCAAAGGCATAAGCAATGATTTGTGTTGGAAACAGCTTGAATTTTCTAGTTATGCCAATAGAGTTTAACACCCAATCTATAATATAAAATAAT